TTTCCGTGTCAACTAAATTTTCACTCCGAGACTTTGAAATGAAATACAAATATTTCCATCGCTTTAGCATGGCAGCGCGTAAACCATTTTTTTCGTCTTTATATCGTTCTAATGCGTTTCTCGATTACCAGAGTGTTCTAAATTATCGTACAATTGTCTTGACACTTTCGTTTCTAACATTAGAGCCTTCAATAATTTTCTATCGGTCGAAATATGATATCTTGACGCTATTTTAGTTCTGGTCTGGGCTAAGTTAAACAATTTTTTTTTAAATATCTAAATTTTGAAAGTGTCAGAATAATTCCTACGTGCTCACGAGTCATGTGTCAAAGTTTCGAACGGTTCGATACAATAACCAAAAAAAAGAGTGTCTTATTCGATTCAACTGATTTGAGGGGGGTTTCGCTTCACCTTAAGATGGAGTGCCACTGGTCTCAAACCACAAGAAAATTCGGAACGGCATGATTTCTACATACGAATGAATTTCCTTAGACATCTTTACGAAGAATAGAGGCGAAAACCTCCGTTGAAGATTTTCGAGAGTTTCGAAGATGCGATTTCCACAAATGAAAAATAAACTTTCTACCTAATCACTCGCGTTAACGAGTTTTCACCCCCATCGAACCGATACTTTTTTCTTGAACCTTTAATTATTCATTCAAAGAAGAAAGTTTGTCGATTTTGAAGGGAATATTTACAAAGGGACAAAGCCAAAACTATCGGAGGGCGGTCCTATTCCAGGGATCACGGGCAAGAAGACGTAATTGTGCCTAAACCCTAGTAGCACAAAATAGTTGTCCTATATTTTCTATATATTTAACGAATATCGTACATTTTGTANCGATTTACAAGAAATATTGCAGATATCTTTGAATGAAATCTACAAGAAATCTTAAAAAATCTGTCGCTTGAGATATTTAGCAAAGATTACAAAGAAATATTCAGAAATTATTCTATGCTACTAGGGAACAAACGATAAGGTTAAACTAAAGTTGTCTCTTCGAGGAGTGGACAGAAAGGGCACTTAGTCTTGGATCACAAAATCGAGCAGTTGGCTCTTAATCGGAATACTCTAGTTTTGAGACATACGCACATATTTGTCTGATAACAAGCCGTCATCCCAGGCTGCGAGATCAACGAAATATAGGAAACTGTCGATAATGGACATATATATCTAAATTCCTCCTAGAATTTTAACTCTTCTCCTTCGTATAATTCAATAAACAAGTAGATACTTGAATTTTGTTCACAGGGGAGAGAAATTCCGTCAAGGCTATCACAAGGCGCTCAACTCGTTTAACATCGGTGGCACGAGATTGCTTGTAACCGCGTAACGCGGTCTTCATAATGTCATACGCCGAAAGGAAGCAAACGCGGTAAACGAAATAAAATTCTCGCGCTCATATGCAGTATGTGCATTCGCTTGCTTATATGGGATAGAAAATATGACTTTCTCCGGCTGTTCGTCCCAGCGTGTACTCTGGGCGGAACCTTAAAGCGGCTCTATTTATACAGACTGAACGGAATTGGATGTATATGCGAGAGAGTAGTCGTACCGAGCGGATCGCATCAAAGAGAGCGAAATCGAGAAGTTCCACGTACGATCGAACACGCATCGATGTCACCTCCGAATCGCCGCCGCGCCCACACCAATTACTTAATTGAATCTGGATCGATCGCGAGGACCTGGTCATCTCTGTCCTCGGTAAATTGCTCAGTTCCGGAAGGTCACTCTGGAAACCAGATCGCGATATCACGTGAAAACGCCCCATTAATACGCCTCCATGATATCGTCAAGTGATCGCCAGGGATATAAAAGCATCTTCGGTGGGTTTTACCCTACGCGGGACGGATTGGGCCGCACGTAATTATAATTGCAATGAAATATAATCGACTATCCGGAGCAATTGCTAATGCAATTGCGTGTAAAATTCCCCGATAATGAATAATGCGGACCCGGAGTGATTTTTTCACGAGCCATCGACCACGCGGACGGATAATCGTATAAAATGCAGCTCCATTGCACACCGTGGACCCGCGATGGTCATTCAAATAATCAATTTCCAGGTGGAAATAGATACGCGATGCGGCTAAATTTGACCTATGCAATAGGAATTAATGGCAAGCCAAATATACCCTGCAAACCTAGGGAAGGTATTACCCTCTGCTATTTAATTAGTGAAATTACCATGCTTGAATCACCGAATCGCAATCCGATTTATCTCTCCACATTTCCTTCGGCGCCGTTCCCGGATGAAGTATGTAAGAATGCAGCTTAATCGATTTGCAATTTAGGAATCCTTACAATCTCGTCCCTAAGGTGAAAGGGACGTCGGCGAGTCTCCTCGACTTCTCGTAGCGCATAATCGATCCCCGCGACTTTATCGCACTCGCGGACGTTCTGTCATTTCTTCGACGCAATCTGTCAAAAGTCGGCCTCGCTCCCTGCAAGACCAGGCTTCGAATTTTGCCCGCGCTTGCCAGGGTGAAATTAACTTCGACTTGGAACGCCGACACCCTGACGTAACCGACTTCGACTCTTAAGGCCGTGTTCGAGGAAATTTAGCAAACGCTTCCGCTGCGGCGAATTTGCATTTAGACGATCGCTGCGGAACAAGCTCGAGGCGCACCGCGACGAATCGAATCCGGCTCAAAGACACGATTAATTGAATAAACGCAAATGCCTATCAGGGGCCCCTGAAACACTACGAGTCCGTCCCGAAAGAGAGGGCACTCGACAGGAGCTGCTGAAAGAAAGTCGACACGCGAAACTTTTCCCGAGTTTCCCACCCACTTTCCTCCCGCCCGAGTACGTCGCCGCGTTGAGAGAGAGAGAGCCCTTCCAAAGGGCCGATAAAAGTGGTTCCAATATTTTCCATTCGTCATCGACGAATATTTGGCCGGGGAATCAAACATTAAAGGCTAATTAATGCCCTTTGTGCGGTCTTTACCCGCGCGTTTCAACGACTCGCCGCCATTCCCGGCGACCGCGTTTCGGCAATTGCAATCGTCGAAGAAGAAGCCACGCCTGGTGAATGGAGGTATTACAATACCTATTAGAAATGCATTCGCGGGTAACGAGAGGGGTAAAAAGCTTTGTAGTAGCTTCGAATACCGTCCTCTTTCAAATTTCAAACGGTTCGCAGGGTGTGGCGGGATGGCAAAAAATTCTTGCAAACTCTTTTAGGAAAGTAATGGCGGCCATTGAATATTCATGTTTGCTGCGGACATCGAGCCGGGTTATGGAAATCTGTTGACATTTTCGGCCCGATATAACGAGGCTTCGTTTTTGCGATACTTTTCAAAAGCTCGTCGGGGTTACTTCTATTCCCGATACGACAAACACTCTGCTTCGTACCGAGACTAAACGCGAAAATTGTTCGCGTACGCGCGAGCCTTTTTTCGTTACTTTGTTGCCTTCGGAAAAACATATCACATGGCTGAGCCTGCGAAGCTAACCCGCAATTGCTCTCCATTAACAAGTTGCCGGGTACTGGGGTGCTTTTCCTGATAGAATGTAAATAAGGGGAGCATGTATCCGGATATGTACGCTGGAAATGGGTGGCGGCCATCTTAGGGTATTACTTAATACCCGAAATTGCCTTTTAATCATATTTCAATTGCGCGCACTTGCCACGAACAGTGCAATATGTTTTTCCATAAATTTGGGAATTTCTTCTTGGGAAAGACGAACGTCGGCAACGTAAATATTTTGAAAAATCTTCTTTATCGACGTCGATCAAGTTCCTCGACGTGTTTCAGTTCACCTTAAGGCCGTCATATTTGTCCTTCCGTCCACCCATCAACGTGTTATATTGGCAAGATCAATGCACACCTCGATTGCGGCAATGGCCGAGCAAAGCGCACGTACCATAAAGTGGCAGTTCATAAACATACGGTGTAACGCGTGGTTACCGCGGAATACCAATTTGACAGAGAGCGCTCGATAAACTGGTTTATCGTTTCGCCAAACGAGGCTTGCAAGTGCCGATGTTAACGCCACCTCGTTCCCTGGCCATTCGAATCACTTTTTCCCGCGGGTGTTTTCAGTTAATTCCACCCTAAAACTTTAGCAAGCACCGTCTTCCGTAATTAAGCCTCGATGATTGACTTCAGTCTGGAAAAGTTTTCGATAGGCTGCCGCGACCATAATAACCTAGATAAAGGTTAATTAAAAAATTCCTTTTGTTAATAAGAACCTCTAGATGCATCTGCCCGTAGAAGGGAAACTGTAACTTTTCACAGAGCGCAAGCTTAAATCGGTTAAATTAATTAGTCCTTCCTTCAAACTACACCCTGTTCCGATAACAGCGATCAGTCTGAATCTGATTAAAAAATGCGATCAAGTTTGATTTCTAGATAGGGCCAGTAAATTGCATTTTACCCTGAGAGCATTTATTATTCCTTAGTATAAATATCTAAATGTTTTAACTCTATAATAGGTTCCTACAAGCACTAGATACATTGACACGAAGTTACCCAGAGTACCTTCAGAAGTCTAGTTCAAGTATAATGCCTGTTTTTATTCACCCACTATTGCAGAACACTTTTTATTCCCCACTGAACAAAAAGCGGAATCGCTTAAAGAATAATTTGTTCTTTTGATCTTCAATTCCTTTGATCGAAACTGGTCTGACAAAAAATGTAACTCAGGTACTGAGCTACTAAATAATTACCTGCTGATATCAAACATTTAACAGCTCTCCTTAGCTAAGCAAGAGGTGATCATTGTAACCTATCAAATATTCTACACATCATGGAATCCTTAAAGTAGGACGTCCGTGAAATAGGCGTACTTCCGTCACATATCCTGTCAAATTTTGAATGGACTTAAGGTGATATGAAACGGTCAATCTACATATATCAGAAAAGACAAATCGTAGCGGCAATCAGGAATAGAATTTAAAATGACGTGAATTCACGCCAGCGGTCGCGAGCGAATATGTTAAACCAACAGCCCGACGAATGATTCGTTAATTGGGGGGCAAAAATCGACTCACCGAAGTTGTCGTTAGGATAAATCAGCAGAGCCAGCAAGACCGCCAGGGGTATCCTTTCGCGATCCACCATACTGCCAGGATCATGGATGCAGCTGTAGCAGAAAAAATCGGAATTAAGACGCGGTTCCGCAAGCGGTCGACGCGACACCGAGTAAAGCGGTTCAATTAGCCGAGGGAGCCCTCCTTGCCCCTTAATGACATACGCGACCAACGTGGCGATTAGCCCGGCTGGGGTGCCAAAATTTCCCTGAATTACGCCGCATAAGAGGGTGCAAAAGTCCGCCCCGGAGTAGTCGGAAATGAGGCCGAAATAAGGGGAAAGTAAGCAAGGGACCGCCCCGACTTTGCCCAGAACTAAGCGCCGAAATAAATTTAATATCCCGCGCATTTCAATGCACTTTTCAAAGTAATTCCATTAGTTAGCTCTCAATTTTTAACCCCCCTCCCCGCGCCCTCCCCGGCTCGGCGTCTGCCGATCTCTTAAAAGGGGCGGCAGCGTGCTCGAGCTAATCTGCATTTGAAATTTCATTCGTGTCGTATGCGAAATGAACTCTTCAGGGCCCCTGAAGGGACCGCGCCGAATGTGTATCGCGCGTTAATTTAGAAAGCACCAAAGGATGCCGTACAGCCTCGATGGCGGATGCTGATATATGTCGGTATATGCCGATGCCGATCGATCCCGTCTCGTATGCGAAATAAAATCACGACTTGTCGATAAAAAGCCGAAAAAGCCCTAGTAGCTTAGAATAATTTCTGAATATTTCTTTGTAATCTTTGCTAAATATCTCAAGCGACAGATTTTTTAAGACGTCTTGTAGACTTCATGCGAAGATATCTGAAGTATTTGTTGAAAATCTCAATGTTATATTTAGTTTCAATAATTTATAAACACATAGAGAAATTATATTTTTTTAATTTATGAACATCTAATAAAAGTACATTTTTTCTTCACGGCTATTATCGGACCCGTCATTTGGTATCAAAAAACACGACAAATTTTTCTAATACTTTCGTTCCGCTATATCATAATGGGAGCAAAACGTGTGATTTTGATTTTAAATCTTTTTAAAACGTATATAATGTATTCGGCAGATAATATTTAAAAATCTGTGGTAACCCTTGAAACTGATAACGTAATTTAAATTACACTAATGTAAGGCTGAATTATATACCTTATACATAACCTCAAACATAGCCGTAAATAAATTTCTTGAGAGGACGTTAAAACCGGGAGCGAATTGGAAATCCTTTTCCTTCTATCAAGACCAAAATGAAATCCCGAGAACCCTTGAGACGAAAAAGTATGTTTTCGTTTTATTAAAAAGAATCAAAGTACGCCACGGTGCCATCTTAATGGCAACGACCAGTCCGAAGTCGATACCGATATCGATATCGGTGTCGCTGGCGGTTCCGATACCCGTGTATCGATCCGCCTCGGAATGCAGGATAAAACCGGAACTCGGCAATAAATACGCGAGGCGCGATGACGGCGTTTCGGACAGATATCTCCTGTGCGAACTACGTCATTATACCTCGCGCTGACCGGTCCTGTACCGGTACGTGTTCGCCCGTCATGCGAGTATTAATCTCACGCGAGAGGAGCGCTGATCCAAACTCGTAATATATTAAAGACGTCAAACACGGCCGCACGAGTCCCCGGTCCTCGTATGCTTGCAAGCCCACCTCGACTCCAGCCTCTACATCGATATCGGAACCGATAGGTTACGGCATTGGTCAACGACTTCGTATTTATGGTTTTAAGGTGATATGAGAGTCGCCTATATATACCTGGGGAGTCAGATCGTTGGTAAAAGTATTGTCCTAATTGGGTGTACCGATTCGTTTCAAATTTGACCACGGGAATATGGAGACCCTAAATTAGGTCCTGAAACTCACGAAATTTCATTTTTCGTACAAAATATACTTATTTGCCATGGACTAGAAACAACATGACGTGGCTCGTGCACGTTTTCGATGTTTTACGATTCCTGGAGGTTTCGAATCCAAAACGAAGAGTTTCAGAACCTAGCTCGAACAATTTAGAATACCGTAGAAATGGAATAATGCAGAGTCAGATGCGAAAATATGGAAAATACTTTTACCAACGATTAAAAGAGAATGCTGATTTGTCTCGCAGCTAATGCGTGTTTTTAGAGCAAAAATTTAGTTGCAGCTAAACGCCACAGATGGCGACGCTGGTCCTAAACAGTCGTTAGAATAATGAATACTCGGGTTTTCGATAGTTCAACGTTGATCTCTTTATCATTACTTTACCGAAATGACATATGGAACGCTTAATTTCCTATAATTCTCAACGTAGAGGGTAAAAGAGTTCAACATAAATACAACATACAACATGTTCTACAATTATATCTAAATCAATAGGTATGGTATGCACTTAACCATTTACGGTTTCACGATGCGACGATGTACGTAAGGAGTAACAAGACAACGGGTGCAACGACCAATCAACTCAATTGACACTCGAAACCCTGGAGTACCTTGATTAATTAGGCGTATTGACTTCAGGCTCTGCAACGATATTTGAACCAGTAGATATGGTGCCACTCTACGACTTCGTATACATGGTGTTAGGGTTGCGATGATGTATGGAACGTGAGCTAAGACAAGTGTCGAGACAACCAGACAATTGAGTTGACTGTTGTAATTTTGGAGTACCGCGTAATCATGAGGGTAGATATCTTATGGTCCCCGTCAGTAGTTTGTACGGGTCCGGCATGTGTCTGACATGGGAAAGGCTGTACTGTCCTCTAAGGTCTGCGCAATTAGCCGATAAATGCCACGCATTTAGAACCGGCAAAGAGTCGAAGTCTCGGGCTGTAGTCGCGGTGAACCACACAGCAGCGACATTAAATATTGAAGGACAGAGGAACACCGAAACGGACCACGAGGAGAGAAGGCAAAAAGCTCTCAACGTTATTCTTTATGCAGCTACGCTAATCGGCTCTGGAGGGATTTTCATTTATTCAATACATAAATCACGACCAATATGTTCGGAAGCGGAATTTCTCTAAAATCTCGTCCGTTGCTACGCCGCGAGACCGAAACACGATGTTGAGAGTCCGTTGTTATTACTTAAGGTGATGTGAAAGTGGCGTCGAAGAGATTTTGTTTATAAAACTTTTCTCCCAACTCGGTTTACCGAATAGTTTGAAACTTCACAACGTGAACAGCGAGACTATAAGGAAGGTCCTGAAACTCATGAAATTTCAATTCTTTTCAAATTTCTTTATAGGTATTTTTAAAATAGTTTATAAAAAATGAAATTTCGCGAGTTTCAGGACCTACCTTAGGGTCTCATTATTCGTGTTTTAAAGTATGAAACGATTTGAGACACCCACTTCGTAGAAAAGTTTTATAAACGATTGAGTTTTCGGATGCCACTTTCACATCCCCGATGATATGAAAGCCGCTCAGAAATTTAATCGAGATCGATAAATTAAAATTCATCTATACCCTTTTTGGTGGTAACGTTATTTTGAATACTCAAGTGGGAACATAAGCTGGCGCGTCCCGTTACCGACATTTATATTTATGTTAAAGTATTTTACCGTCTACGTTGAGAATTATACGAACTCAAGCGTTCCATATGTCATTTCGGTAAAGTAATGATGAAGAGATCTATGTAAAACTGTCGTAATTTCGGGAATTCATTATTCTAACGACTGTTTAGGACCAACGTTGCCATCTGTGACGTTTAGCTGCAACTAAATTTTTGCTCTAAAAACACGTGTTAGCCCCGGGACAAGCCATCATTCTCTTGCAATCGTTGAGGAAAGTATTTTCCATATTTTCCCATCTCACTCTGTAATATCCCACTTCTACGGTATTCTAAATTGTTCGAACTAAGCCCTAAAACTCGTCATTTTATATTCTAAGCCTCCAAGAAGCGTAAAGCAGCGTAAACGTGCACGGATCACGCCATGTTGGTTCGGGTCCATGATAAATAAATAAATTTTGTATGAAAAATGATATTTTTTTTAAGACGTCTTGTAGACTTCATGCGAAGATATCTGAAGTATTTGTTGAAAATCTCAATGTTATATTTAGTTTCAATAATTTATAAACACATAGAGAAATTATATTTTTTTAATTTATGAACATCTAATAAAAGTACATTTTTTCTTCACGGCTATTATCGGACCCGTCATTTGGTATCAAAAAACACGACAAATTTTTCTAATACTTTCGTTCCGCTATATCATAATGGGAGCAAAACGTGTGATTTTGATTTTAAATCTTTTTAAAACGTATATAATGTATTCGGCAGATAATATTTAAAAATCTGTGGTAACCCTTGAAACTGATAACGTAATTTAAATTACACTAATGTAAGGCTGAATTATATACCTTATACATAACCTCAAACATAGCCGTAAATAAATTTCTTGAGAGGACGTTAAAACCGGGAGCGAATTGGAAATCCTTTTCCTTCTATCAAGACCAAAATGAAATCCCGAGAACCCTTGAGACGAAAAAGTATGTTTTCGTTTTATTAAAAAGAATCAAAGTACGCCACGGTGCCATCTTAATGGCAACGACCAGTCCGAAGTCGATACCGATATCGATATCGGTGTCGCTGGCGGTTCCGATACCCGTGTATCGATCCGCCTCGGAATGCAGGATAAAACCGGAACTCGGCAATAAATACGCGAGGCGCGATGACGGCGTTTCGGACAGATATCTCCTGTGCGAACTACGTCATTATACCTCGCGCTGACCGGTCCTGTACCGGTACGTGTTCGCCCGTCATGCGAGTATTAATCTCACGCGAGAGGAGCGCTGATCCAAACTCGTAATATATTAAAGACGTCAAACACGGCCGCACGAGTCCCCGGTCCTCGTATGCTTGCAAGCCCACCTCGACTCCAGCCTCTACATCGATATCGGAACCGATAGGTTACGGCATTGGTCAACGACTTCGTATTTATGGTTTTAAGGTGATATGAGAGTCGCCTATATATACCTGGGGAGTCAGATCGTTGGTAAAAGTATTGTCCTAATTGGGTGTACCGATTCGTTTCAAATTTGACCACGGGAATATGGAGA